TGCGACAGCTTAATGGAATTTAGGGTTTAGGGTTTAGGGTTTAGGGTTTAGGGTTTAGGGTTTAGGGGGCAAACTCTAGAAGTGCTTTGAGCTCGAGGGTTCCCTTAGTATGGGACCGGGCCCTATAGGGAGCCCGGGAAATTAAACCCTTACATACCCTAGCAAGACCCCTAAACGCTAAACCCTAAGCCCATACTTCAGAGCCTTTTAAAAGGCTACACCATCTTAAGGGACCATGGTGTCTACCCGTAGAGGCTAGGATTTCGGGCCCGTAGACCCTATGGGGCTCAAAGTGGAGAGGTGGCCTGAGATTTGCAGAGCCGCAGCAGAAAAAGCCATGAGGGGCATGGTCCCGGCGATATTTTGAGCGTGACATGCGGGGTCTTCTCTGGCGGGCGTACTGTAACAGAGCTCGCTATAGCCCCCACTTCTCCACTTCTCCACCTACTGCAATACTGTGGTCTGTAACCTCCCTCAGCAGGGGCTAAGCAGGGGAGGGGGGGGGGGTGTGGGGGGGAGACCCTTCGCAGCCCCTCTCTTCCAGAGCCAAAGCAACTTAGCCCCTCGCCCTAAACCCTAAACTCCCTGGACCTTCACATGGGCGTTTAGCTTCGAGGTTTGGTGTAGCGTTTAGGGTCCCGTAGTCCCGTCCCTCTCTCTTGCAAAGCCCTCCATGATTTAAGGGAGCACAGAACGCCAACCCTCGAGCAATTTAGGATTGGACTTTAGGGCTGGATAAGGGTTTAGGTTTAGGGTTTAGGGTTTAGGGTTTAGGGTTTAGGGTTTAGGGTTTAGGGGTTTGGGTTTAGGGCTGAGTTTAGAGTGTAGGGTCAGACTTGAGGGCTTAGAGTTCAGAGTAACCCTTCCTGCACCTCCAACCCGAAACCCTAAACCCTAAACCCTAAACCTTAAACCCTAAACCCTAAACCCTAAACCCTAAACCCTAAACCCTAAACCCAGCCCCGTCCAAGATACATCTTCCCACTCTTCCGAAGGCGCCGGAAAAGTTGATAGGACTTGCTCTCCAGGTAGTCCTGTGCCACAGAAATTGAGGACGCCGAGGCCCTCTGCTTATGATTCTCTAAACGTGCAACCCTAAACCCTAAACCCTAAACCCTAAACCCTAAACCCTAAACCCTAAACCCTAAACCCTAAACCCTAAACCCTATCCCCCTAAATCCTAAACGGGCTTTCCAAATTCTTCGCCCCTCCCGGGGGCCTTGTAGGCGTGTGGCCGCGCCGAGAGGAACACCTGGGGCTGGTCGTGGGCCAGTGGCGGCAGGGGAGCCACACAATTGGGATGGCTTAGGGTTTAGGGTTTGGGGTTTAGGGTTTGGGGTTTAGGGTTTGGGGTTTAGGGTTTAGGGTTTAGGGTTTAGGGTTTAGGGTTTAGGGTTTAGGGTTTAGGGGACATGAAGCCACACAGTCGGGATGTTCCCCCTTATACTGACGGTGCTTAATAGGGATTCAAGGGGGGGGGGGGGGGGGTGGAGTTTAGGGTTTAAGGTTTGGGGTTTGTGGTTTGGGGTTCAGGACTGTTAGGAGAAGGGGGAACATCCCAAAGCCACACATGATTGCTCACCTCTTGGCCCAAGGCAAATTGTTCGGTTGCTGAACGGCGGAAGCCCTAAACCCTGTTGATGCATGCGCCAGCATGCGGATATATATATATATACACATACAAACACACACACCCTTTTAAGCTAAAGGGCGTATATGGGGTACCTGATACCCTAGAGTTTAGGGTTTAGGGTTTAGGGCCCTCATTCATTCCCTACTAAGTAAGAACCAGTAAGATAGCTCGCCCCAGGCTCTCAAATTGCAGGACTAGGACCGGGGCACACCTCATATTGCAGAACTAGTCTCTGGGGTTCAGGGTTTAAGGCTTCTTTTTGGGTTTAGGGTTTCGGGTTTAGGATGTAGGGAACGAAAGTCCACAGGCTTTAGGGCCTGGGGCTTGGGTTTGAGGGTCTAGGGTTAGCGTTTGGAGTCGCAGCGCAGCAGCCAAGAGCTCCGCGAGGATGCGCTGCAACCCCAAATTCCAAAACCCTAAACCCAAAACCCTAAACCCTGACTATTTTAGGATAGTCTTAGTTGCTGAGTTCATAAGCCCCCCAAAAAGTGTACACTTTCAGTTCTATAGAGGATTATAGTATCCCAAAAAGTGTAAAGTGTGCTGACAGCTACTAAGGTAGGATAATTTCATGATCCCTTAGTATGGGCCTTGAAAAGTGGGCTCCTTTCTACCCCTTAGCCCAAGGGCCCATACATCAGAACCCTTTAAAGGAGGTGAGGCCATAATAAGCGCTATCATATAACTGCCCATGGACTAAACCAAGCCCCCGAAACTACGAAACTATTCTTGAGAGTGAGTATTTGCAGGGTTTGGGCTGGCTCAAGGGGGTTGGGATATATATCCCAAGGGCCCTGCCCCGAACACAAGACGCCCCCAAACACCCCAAACACTCACGACTCACAACCCTAAACCCTAAACCCTAAATACCCTAAAAACCCTAAACCCTAAACCCTAAACCCTGAACCCTACACACGCCCAAAAAGCTTTAATGCCAAGCGGCCAGGTTCGACCAAACTCGCAGCTGGGGCGGATGGAAGCAAACATCACCCTGACAAACAGCTTCTTCTGCTACAAGGGGCATGAACTTGTGGGTCTAGGCTTTAGGGGGATGCTTTCTTCAAGCTATTAAAGGGGACTAAGGGTAGACGCCTAGTCCTTCATCTTGGAGAAGCCAGTTGGGTTTCAATTTGTGAGGTCGGAGCCCTTTATCCTACCCGAGCATCGCCCCAAAGGAAGGAAGGAATCCCAAACCCTAAACCCTAACCCCTAAACCCTAGACTACACGTTTTCTTGCAAGGGTCCTAACTTCCATGCGGTCCCTGCAAGAAAGGATGGTCGAGAAAAAGCCGCCTCCGGCTCCGCATGCGGTTTAGGGTTTAGGGTTTAGGGTTTCGGGTTTAGCTTAAGGTTTAGGGCTATCCGGCCCACACCTTCCAACTCTCATGAAGCTTGTCGAACAAAGTGCGGGTTGAGGTGTCCTGGGCTCACTTGCTTCTCCGATAAACATGCCCAAGGAAAGCCAACAAGTGCTTACGTGCAACTCCAACCCTAAACCCTAAACCCTAAACCCTAAACCCTAAACCCTAAACCCTACACCCTAAACCCTAAACCCTTAAGGGTTTGGGGCTTAAGGCTCAGGACTTCAGCGGGCTTAGGGGTTTGGGACCGCAGCCCTGGTCCCAAATCCAGTGCAAGATTACCAGATGCGCTAAGGGTTTAGGGTTTAGGGTTTAGGGTTTAGGGTTTAGGGCCAAACCCTGAGCCTTCATTCCAAAAACCCATTCTAATAAGGGGGTTTACGAACCTAGGGGGCCCCCGAAATAGACCCCCAAATAGTAGAAGTTTCCTGCTAATAAGGACCCCAATGAGGTACCCGCCGTTCCAAAACCAATTCTCATGCAGGTTCTTTCCCCAAGACGCGAGCAAAGGCCAGCCCCCCTAAAAACGGCTCCTTTCGAATACCCTAAACCCTCAACCCTCAACCCTAAACCCTCAACCCTAAACCCTGAACCCTAAACCCTAAACCCTAAACCCTAAACCCTAAACCCTAAAGCCTACAATTCGGGAGGCTGACCCTCCTCAGCTTCGGGGTTCGGGACGGACGCCTCGCCCAGCAGGGAGTTGTCGCCCGTATCCCTAACTCGCGCCACGCGCTCCTGGTGGGGTTCAAGGTTTAGGGTTTAGGGTTTAGGGTTCAGAGTTTAGGGTTTTGGGCTTAGGGCTTAGGGTTTAGGATCACTCTTGGGAATCCACCTGGGCTCCGAAGGGCTGAAGCCTTGGGGGTTCGGGGACCCTTTAAGGACCCTTCTCAAGGTATCTACAGGGGGCCAGAATTCACGGAGCCTGATTTAGGGTTTAGGGTTTAGGGTCCTAGGGTTTGGACCCTAAACCCTAAACCCTAAACTGCGAACCCGGCTTTCACAAAGGAACAGCCTGTTTCTTTGTCAACATCCCAAAATTTCGATTGCCCGAAACCTGAACCCTAACGAAACCTATGCATGCTTAAGCAACGGTCTAAATCAAGGGGCACATGGCCAATTGATCATGGGCTAGTGGCCTTTTGCAGTTTCAGGGTATGTATATATGTATATATATATATATATATATTGAATATTTATACCTACCTACCTACCCACCCACTCACCCACCTACCTACCTACACACACACAGTGCTCTAGACAAGCATCACAACCGTTTTTGCAACGGGATGTGCCCTAGGTCCCTAGGTCCCTACATAAACCCCCCCCCAAGCCCTTACCCCTTTTGTTTATCCTTTTTTGACGCATGGACCCAGGCCCTGAACCCTTTTCAACCAGGCTGCAGACTGCCCTGAAACCCTAAGCCGCGAAGCTGCTGAGCCCTGAAGCCCCGAACCCTAAACCCTAAACCTCTAACCCCCCAACCCCTAAACCAACCCTAAACCCTAAACCCTAAACCCTAAACCCTAAACCCTAAACCCTAAACCCTAAACCCTAAACCCTAAACCAACCCTAAACCCCAAACCTTAAACCCTAAACCCCCAACCCCTAAATCTTCGGCCCGGTCCTGTAGCTGCGCCACCGTCTCGGAGTCCGAAACGGAAATTTCCTGCAGGCCAACAGGCGGTTTTCGGGTTTAGGGGGTTTAGGGGTTTAGGTTTTAGGTTTTAGGGTCTAGGGTTGGATTGATAAGGGAGGTTGAGGGTTTTCCCAAGCCAGCCAAAGCCAAGCCTGCCAAGGTTTATGGTTCAGGGTTTAGGGCTTTTAGGGCTAGGGTCTGGGGTTTAGGCTTAAGGGGTTTAGGGTTTAGAGGTCAGGGTTCCCGGCGACTTGGGCCTTCGCACGTAGGGGGTTGAAGGGTGTCAAAGGTTACAGGATATAAGGGGTAGACAGAGCTATGATTTCATTCATTTTTTGCTACCCGCACTGCCCGCGCTAAGCAGATTTTAGGGCTTCTGGGGTGTTAGAAGCTTCTCATGGCTCGTCACGTCCTTCCACTGACGGCCGGGGACGCGAATCCACACCTGGAGTCGCTGGGCAAGGATCATCAGGATTTGAAGAGCCTTTGTAGGGTTCTTAAGGGACGGGGATTCATGGGGGGGATCCGTACCTAGGACACCTTAGGCAGCTTGAGGGAGTCGTGGGGAGTATTAGGGAACGTTGGGTTACATTCCCCCTTGAAGCTCCCCCCTCCCTGAAGAACCCTCCCAGGCCTGAACCCTTGAACCCTCAGCCAGGTTGCTGGATTGGTGTTGTTATGCACCCGATAGCCCAGCAGCCGCAGCACACTGAAGCTTGGCCTCAGAGGGGCGACTCGGGCATAGCTCTCTAGGCAAGCCGAAGGCAAATACCCTTATAGAGCTAGACTTCCCCCAGTGCGGTCCTCTATGGTCAGTTCTCTAAAATATGGTCCTTTTGATAAGGCGGCCCCTCTTATGTAGGGTACCCCCAAAAAAAAGGGACCGTAATTTAGAGAACTTACCCATATATAGTACGGTCACCCTTAGCAGAAGGACCCTTAAAAAGGGAACCCGAGGTTCGAGAAGTACCCTAGTGCTCGCAAGGCTTGCGGGCCTCGAGGCCCTCCCCCCCCCCCCCCGGTCGTACGTCCCTGTCGGCTTTGTTGCTGCGGGTTTAGGGTTTAGGGTTTAGGGTCTAGGGTCTAGGGTTTAGGGTTTAGGGTTTAGGGTTTAGGGGCGGCAACCAATTCCAGCTGCTTCTGCTCCTCAAGAGGGTTACAATCTGGCAAGGCCATCAGGATGGGTGAAGGTTGGGTGCCCTGCCCTGCAACACAAGACCTTCAAGGGCCGAGGGGCCCAGACCCCTTGTGCAAACGCACGCCTGGAGGACGCCCTACAGCTCTCCTTTTTCAACCGTAGTTTAGGGTTTAGGGTTTAGGGTTTAGGGTTTAGGGTTTAGGGTTTAGCCCGAAGCCAAAACCCGAAACCTCCCTTCTTTTTTGAACACGGAGGTCCCGGAGGTTCCCGAGCCCCAAAATCGAGTTCATGGTTGGGACCGTATGAAAAATCAACAGTCCCATTCCTTATTGAGGTTAAAACTGAGGGGTTTAGGGTTCAGGGTTTAGGGTTTAGGGATAAGGGTTTAGGGTTTGCAAAATGTTGCCTCGCTATGACGAAGAAATTGCACCCTGAGCCCCACCCCTCGACTAAGGCTGCTGCTGTTCATTCTCATCCTCCTCTCCCTGGGAAGCTTTGGGGCTTCCTACATTTCCAGTTCAACCCTAAACCCCCAAACCCTATAGCCCAAACACTTGGGGCTTCCTTGCGTTCCAGCTCAAAGCAATTCGAGGCTTAGGATTCTGGGTTGGTCGGGGTGCTTGTTGGGGCTTGAGGGTAAAGCGTTTAGGGCTAAGTTCTTTTTTGTTGGGAGGTGCGGTTCAGCGTTTAGGGTTTAGGGTTTAGCCTTTGGCGTTTCGGGTTAAAATCTTAAGGGTTCAAGGGGGGGGGGGGGGGGGGGGGGGGGGGGGTGGGGGCTTCAAGGGTCAAAGGGCTTGAGGCCGAGGGCTGCTAGCGGTTAGGGTTTAGGGTTTAGGGTTTAGGGTTTAGGGTTTAGGGTTTAGGGTTTAGGGTTTAGGGTTTAGGGTTTAGGGTTTAGGGTTTAGGGTTTAGGAGAAAGATGATGGCAAGCAGTAAGTTCATACAATCGACATAGAACACCAAACAAAAAAGCACAAGGACTTCTGTCTCAGCCACGCCCCACCCATAGCTCCACCTTCCGGTCTTCCAGTGCACAACTGCACATTGGATCCTTCTTGTCTAAGAATAACTCAACAACAGGGTTTAGGGTTTACCCCAAGCCTATACCTGAATCGTAGCGCCCTGCCCCCCAACGCAACCCAAAACCCTCTGTTTGCCTTCCGAAATCCTGCCTAGACCCCGAACCCTAAATTTGTTGATGTTGAACCCCCCCCCCCGAACCTTAAACCCTCGAACCCCGTACTCGGGGGCACTGCAACAATCAAGATTCCGATGGGTTGCATTGGATTACATACAGTTACAGCCCATCGACTTTGAAAACGACCCTAAACCCAAAACCCTAAACCCAAAACCCCCAAAACCCAAAACCCAAAACCCAAAACCCAAAACCCAAAACCCTAAACCCCAAACCCTAAACCCTAAACCCAGCCCTCTTCATCTTCGGGGCCAGTTGCTTCCCTTCAAGCTCGCGCCTTCGGAGCCTTCTCCTTCTGCTTCATGGCTCGCTCGGCCGTGATCTCTTTAAAAAGCGCGAGGACCCCGGGGTAGACCTGCAAGCTTTGGAGGGGTTTAGGGTTTAGGGTTTAGGGTTTAGGGTTGAACCCCCAAATCCCTTTTGCATCCAGGCTTGGGTGAGCGTGCCGGGAAAGAGCTCATGCTGCCCAGGTTCGTTGTAAACCCAAATCCCAAAATTCCTGAACCCGGGACCCTGAACCCTAAACTCCCTGAAACCTTACCCTCAACTGCAGTTGAGGTCACAAACTAACACATTTCCGATGTGAGCACAGGTCGATTCCCCCTTACTGGAACAATATGGGTACTTCTGAGAACACTCTCATGGTTTAGGGTTTAGGGTTTAGGGTTTAGGGTTTAGGAAGCTCGTGGGATACTTAGATGTCCAGTATCCTCAGGGAGAGCGAAAGGTTCACCTTTGGTATCGGGGTTATAATACCCCCAAGACAGAGGTTAAGGTTCCCTAAACCCTAAACCCTAAACCCTAAACCCTAAACCCTAAACCCAAAAAACAATCCCTTTTGGTCGGATACTCTGGGTTCAGCCTGGCTCTTCGGAAAGCGCTCGTCGCAACCGGCAGGGAAGTGGCCGCCACCTGAGCATCAAAACAGCTTTAGGTGGTCGGGTGCTCAGGACAAGGGTCCTGCCAAGCTAAACCCCTAAACCCCAAACCCCAAACCCTGAACCCTAAATCCTAAGCCCTAGACCCTGAACCATAAACCCTGAATCCTAAACAAATCCTCCTCCTCCCCTCCGCCTTTCTCTCAGATGAAAGTCAGTAGTGACTCGGTTAGGGGTTGGCCTGGGTAATCATGTCCAGGAAAGAGAACTCCCAAAGAGCCCAATATTGCTTAATTAAGGAATATACCTTAAATCATATTAAGGATCCCTATATGATTTAAGGTATATTCCTTAATTAAGCAATATTGGGCTCTTTGGGCTAAAACCAAGGGCGGAATTCAACAACGCCTTGCCCGGATGTTTCAGAAGCCTAAGCCCGAGGCGAAAGAGGGGAAGGTTCCTAAACCCTAAACCCTAAACCCTAAACCCCAAACCCTAAACCCTAAACCCCAAACCCTATAAAGACTCCAGGTGCGCAGCCCTGGAGGGCTCCAAGTGCCCGCGTCGTGTTCTGGCACGGGTGAACAAAGTGTGCACGCGGAGGGGTTTGCTCCCCCAGACCCCGTGCATGAAGCCTCTACAAGCCAACCGTAGACCCTAAACCCTAAACCCTAAACCCTAAACCCTAAACCCTAAACCCTAAACCCTAAACCCTAAACCCTAAACCCTAAACCCGACCCCTATAATAGCCCTTAGGATTGAGGTAGCTGTCAGGCAAAAAAAAGCTTGGGGTGGGGGGTGGGGGCTTAAGTTAAGATTTCAACTGGAGTCAGACATTCGGGTCTTTCCGTTGCTAGTACACTCGGGCCTTGTGAGGTTTAGGAGTCGAGGGATGTAGACGATGCCCTTACTACTAAATAGTTGCGGAACGTATGCTCTAACGTATTAGCCCAGCCCTGGGGTTTAGGGTTTAGGGTTAGGGGTTAGGGTTTAGGGTTTAAGGTTTAGGGTTTAGGGTTTAGGGTGATGCAAGGCTGCAAGCTATACAGCGCAGCGAAAGCACTTCCATAGAGTGTGTCGTCCACATCGCTGATGATCTTGATTGGAGCCTCCGAATGAGAGACGTGCAAATTCTTGGGAACATGTCCGTGAAAACAGGTCCAAAAGCCAAGCGCTAACCCGACACCCTCAACCCTTTTGCACAACCCGAAACCCTAAACCCTACATCCTACACCCTACACCCTACACTCTACACCCCACACCCTGCACCCTAAACCCAGACCCTAAACCCTAAACCCTAAACCCGAAACCCTAAATCCTAAGGGTTCGAATGTGGGAGGAGAAGTAAACGTCGAGTCGCTGCCCCAAACGGGTTAAGTGTAGGCAGTTGAGTCGGTCCAGCGTTTTCGACACCAGGGACTTTGCCAACCCTAAGCCTCAAGCCCCAAAAAAACTGTTTGAACCGTAAACCCCCCCCAAAACCCCAAACCCTAAACTCTATAAACCCTAAACTCTATAAACCCTAAACCCTATAAACCCTAAACTCTATAAACCCTAAACTCTTTAAACCCTAAACTCTATAAACCCTAAACCCTATAAACCCTAAACTCTATAAACCCTAAACTCTATAAACCCTAAACCTGACTTTCGTGGGTTCATGAAAAATACAACCCGGGCAACAGGTTTCTTGAGCCGTTGCTTAAGACGAAGCGCCTGAGCCAAGAAACCCAAAACCCTAAACCTTCCCAGACCCAGCAGCATCTACTGTAAACCCTAAACCCTAAACCCTAAACCCTGAACACAATTCCCGGCCTTGTGTGGCTCGTACTGGCCAGCCATGCGCCTGCCCTCCTTCTGGATATGGCTCAGGGCCCGCTGGTACCTGGGTTTTAGGGTTTAGGGGTTATAGGGTTTTAGGGTTTAGGGTTTAGGCGTTAGGGTTTAGGCTTTAGGGTTTATAGGGTTCTAGGGTTTATAGGGTTTTAGGGTTTAGGGTTTAGGCTCAGGGCCCGCTGGTACCTGGGCTGGGTTTTAGGGCTTAGGTTTTTTTTTTCTAGGGGTTTCTAGGGTTTCCAGGGTGTCTAGGGTTGCTAGGGTTGCTAGGGTTTCTAGGGTTTCTAGGGTTTCGGGTTTAAAGTTTACAGGGCTTTGATGGACTTACGAGCTTAACATTTGGGTTTTGGGCACTCCCATCAGACATGGGGTGGCATCCTGTATTGACCTTACCCCCTACTACAGCTTAAACCCTAAACCCTAAACCCTAAACCCTAAACCCTAAACCCTAAACCCCTAACCCCTAACCCCTTAAACCCTAAACCCTAAACCCCAAACCCTAAACCCTAAACCTAAACCCTAAACCCTAAACCCTAAACCCTAAACCCTAACCCTAAACCCTAAACCCCTACTTCATTTCTGAGGCAAAACTCGCACTACACCAGCAGTAGTGGCTTGGAGGCCCTTCCTGAAATTCGAAATAGCCTTAGAATGCCAGGGTGGAGGCCGGCACCTCGCAAAACCCCAAATCAGGGCTTAGGGTTTAGGGTTTAGGGTTTAGGGTTTAGGGTTGCAGCACGCCGCCCAGACCCTCCATGCCAGACCACTTCGAGACACACAGACCGTGGGCCAAGCGGCCAACCGCAAAGCTACAGGACCATTGAAAGGATGGCGACGTCAAACCCTAAGCCCGTTCTTGGGACCCCTGTTAGTTTTACTATTTGCATGGTTCCGTATGGGCAGAACCAAAACTTACAACATAATGAATGTCAAGAACGGTTATACAAGTGGGCACTGTGGTGACTGAATTCGGAAACCCAAGAAGACTTCATGTAAGGAGACCCCTAGGGGTCCGAAGGGGGGATGACCAGTAAATACATCCTAAACCCTAAACCCTTTTGCAGCCGAACCCTAAACCCTAAACCCTAAACGTGAGCCCTGAACCCAGAGAAACTCGACGAAGGGCCCAGGACACCCACAGGCCAAGACGAGGTTGGACGGAGGCCAGGGGCCGGTTTTTGGATAAATCGGAGAAAGAGGTGCAACGAAGCCCCGGGGTTTAGGGTTTAGGGTTTAGGGTTTAGGGTTTAGGGTTTAGGGTTTGACGAAGGCAGGGGGGTGTGCGGAGGTGTTAGACGGCCTTTTTCCGAAGTCTCGGTGCCATCCCCTCAAATGCTACTCGGATCGGTTTGGCTGCATCAGTGCAAGGAGGGCCGGCTAGGGCTTTGGGCGTGCCAAGCAGATGTGAAGAAGAAAAAGACCTACAGTAAGTAACGAGCCAGGAGCACAACACCTGGTTGGAGCTAGTGCACCTAGTGATCACGCACACTACTGCACTGGAGACTGCGCGTTGCATCTAGATTAGAGATCAAGAACAATGTGCACCACCCAGTGGGCAGGATCAACTGCAATGGAGTCATCGGCACGCAGGCTTTGGTGCAAGCTTCGGTACTGCGCTACTGAGTATGTCGAGTCTGACCTATGCTTGTGATCAGGAGCTTGGGCCACAATGGAAAGAGGTATTATTTTGAGGCTAGTGAGTGTACCCTGAACCCTAAACCCTAAACCCTACCGAAACCCTAAACCCTAAACCCTATACCCTAAACCCTTAAACCCGTAAACCCCTAAACCCTAAACCCTAGTGTTTCAGCTTCGCGGCATCTCCGGATCGAGATCGTGAAAAACGAGCTTGTGCAGGTTGTAGAAGTCCCCACCCTCGTCTAAGACATCCTTCATCCTGCCACGGAGTTGAGTTTAGGTTTTAGGGTTTAGGGTTTAGGGCTTCGGGTTTCGGGTTCCCCCCACTGCCACGCAGCCTCAAAACCCACGCCTCCAGGCTACGAAGACTTCTCAGGAACTTCTGCAGGAGGTGTAGAGGTAAACCCTAAACCCTAAACCCTAAACCCACATTTAATGGCGCAAGAGGGGTGTTGGTTCAGTCACTGTCAGCTCTGTCCAGACACCCAACCCATAAGCACAGACATCGGATCCATGTCATAGGGCCCGTAAAGGGGGTTCATGGGGGGTAGCTATCCCTAAACCCTAAACCCTAAACCCTAAACTCTGCAGTCATGCGCAGCTCATCACCGGTGGTGGACTCCAGGAGTTCAACCACCACCTCCTGCTGCAAGCGCATGACCTCAGCGCAGTCAGGGTTTAGGGTAGGGTTTAGGGTTTAGGGTTTAGGGTTTAGGGTTTAGGGTTTAGGGTTTAGGGTTTAGGGTTTAGGGTTTAGGGTTTAGGGTTTAGGGTTTAGGGTTTAGGGTTTAGGGTTTAGGGTTTAGGTTGGTTTCGGGTTTATAGGGTGTAGGGCTTCTTTTTTGGCACTCGCATGGCTGGACTAGGGTTTAGGGCTTAGGGTTTAGGGCTTAGGGTTTAGGACATGGTGATCTCTCTAAATCATGGTCCCTTCCTGGGTTAATATTAAAAGGCGGCCCCTCATATTTCGGGCACCCAAGAAAGGCAGACATGCTTATGCTATGCATACATACGGCTAGCTTAACTTTAGGTAGTTAGTTTGCGCTTCTTTACTGCTAGTGGAAAACAGGACTTCGGATATGCACCACCCATTGTCATAACATTACCTGGATGACTGTCATGGCGTCTCTTCCTAAACCCTAAACCCTAAATCCTAAACCCTAAACCCATGTTACCTCCTTTATTCCAGGCCCGATGGGCCCGGATGCACGAGGAAGTTGGGGGGTCATGCTTTTCAAAGGGACGAAACGGTTTAGGGTTTAGGGTTTAGGGTTTAGGGTTTAGGGTTTAGGGTTTAGGGTTTAGGGTTTAGGGTTTAGGGTTTAGGGTTTAGGGTTTAGGGTTTAGGGTTTAGGGTTTAGGGTTTAGGGTTTAGGGTTTAGGGTTTAGGGTTTAGGGTTTAGGGTTTAGGGTTTAGGGTTTAGGGTTTAGGGTTTAGGGTTTAGGGTTTAGGGTTTAGGGTTTAGGGTTTAGGGTTTAGGGTTTAGGGTTTAGGGTTTAAAACTTGGACCCCTAAGGATGTACATATGCTCCTGATACTTGAAAAAAGGTCCCCAAACCCCGGGTTCAAGGCAGAAGCCCAGCATCTGAACTGAGATCGATGGGCACTCTGCTACAGAACTCCAGAACCCTGGTTTAGGGTTTAGGGTTTAGGGTTTAGGGTTTACAGAACATCCTTTTGCCAGTGCATGTAGACGGTCCAGTACCCCCCTGCCCCCACCCCACCCGCCACATCAGACGACGAGGACACCCTAAACCCTGAACCCTACAAACCCTACTAGGCTTCCCAGTAACCAAGGCTTAAATAGGGATTAGGGTTTAGGGTTCAAAAAGGGAATAAGGGTACTACTGGGCATCCTAGCCTATAAGCCCTTTTGAACCCGCGCTCTCTGAGGCGCCAACACTGAGCCCCTAAACCCTAAACCCTAAACCCTACACCCTAAACCCTAAACCCTAAACCCTAAACCCTATCATGCCTCAAGGAAAGAGTGCGGCTCAAGCAACAACCCACGGATGGCCCTTCCAAGCATCTGAAAAAAATATGCCCAAATATAATCCTCTCAAACCCAATGAGGGGAAATATGGCATGTCCCAACCCTAAACCCTAAACCCCAAACCCTAAACCCCTAAACCCTAAACCCCCTAAACCCTAAACCCCCAGACCCCTAGGCAGCGAGTTCGGAGTGTGGCGTCTGCATGGCTACGCTGAGGGGGGCCCCAGCTCAGGCGTCCTAGGGGTGCGCTGATGAGGAAAACAAACGGGCAGGACCTGAAATGGGTTAGGGTTTAGGGCTTAGGGCTTTTAGGGCTTAGGCTATTTAGGGTTTCGGGTTTAGGGTTTAGGGTTTAGGGCTTAGGGCGAGGCATCAGTTGCAACAAGCCACGTAGAAGTCGTGCTGCCGCTGCAGGGCATCCACCAATCGCGTCTTGGTAACCTGCTGCCAGGTGCGCTCGTGATCTTATGGTTCGTAGGGTTTAGGGTTTAGGGTTTAGGGTTTAGGGTCGTGGCTGGGATGTTCCTCCTTATACTATCAGTCCTTAATCTAGGCTGCCCAGTAACCTAGGCTTAAAAAGGGTGCCCTTTTTTGCTGAAAGGGGTTTATAGGGGAACCTAAACCCCCAAAAAAGGGAATAAGGGTAGTACTGGGCATCCTAGCTATCAGTCCTTAATAGGGACGTTAATAGGGGGGTATATACTCTCATCCCTAGTCAGGACTGTTCGTATAAGGGCGAACTGCCCAAGTGCGGGGTGAAACTGGAATCAAGCCTTGAAACCCTGATCTCTGTCCGGTTTAGGGTTTAGGGGTTTAAGGGGGGTTTAGAGGTTTTAGGGGTTTAGGGGTTTAGGGTTTTAGGGGTTTAGGGGTTTAGGGGCTTAGGGTTTAGGGGTTTAGGGTTTTAGGGGTTTAGGGTTTAGGGGTTTCTGCCAGGCGGCCGTGTCCATGTGTCGGATGTTGTCGCGCAAGATCTTGAGGATGGCCTCGCTTCCTGCAGTTTCTACAACCCTAAACCCCAAGCCCCAAGCCCCAAACCCTAGACCCTAAACCCTAAACCCTACTGTTTACTTGAGGGCCCCCCGGCGGAAGTGTTTTTTTCCTGACGTTGGCCCTGAGAACCCCCCCCCCCCCCCCCCCAAAAAAAAAAAACGAAAGACGACGAACCCTACATCACCCTTATTAGGGAAGAGCGTGTCGCTTTTTTTAGGGGGAGGCTTCCGTAGCTGCTGAGTTCCTAAGCCCCAAAAAAGTGTACACTTTCAGTTCTATAGGGGATTATAGAACCCCAAAGAGTGCAAAGTGTGCTCACTCAGCTCCTAAGCTTCTGAAGCGAAAGGTAGGTTTAGGGTTTAGGGTTAAGGGTTTAGAGTTTAGGGTTTAGGGTTTAGGGTTTAGGGTTTAGGGTTTTAGGGTTTTAGGGTTTTAGGGTTTTAGGGTTTTAGGGTTTTAGGGTTTTAGGGTTTTAGGGTTTTAGGGTTGTAGGGTTTTAGGGTTTTAGGGTTTAGGGTTTAGGGTTTAGCGTTTAGGGTAACTTTCTAGTACACTCGAAAGTTCATGAAGGCATACTACCTGCATGTACTGAAGGGCGACGAAGCGAACTAAAATAGGGAAGAACCTACCAAAAAGCCAGTTCGGTAGATAATGAGTCGGATGACAACCTCAGTTATGACCAGTCAATATGAAGCCTCCAAGTAGTAGGGTCTGGGGCTTGCAACGAGAAAGGGGCGGGAGGGCAGAAATAAGGGGAGCGCATGCTGGCATGCGTCGACCCCAATCCCTCGATAGAGTCTACACTCCCTAAACCCTAAACCCTAGTTAAACCCTAAACCCTAAACCCTAAAACGGACCATTTACGGAGAGATCTCCGTAGAGGGTGACCTCGGGGCGCAAAGCTCGAGTAGGGTTTCGACTTCTGGGTATTTTGGGTCTCGCGGATCGCAACTAGGGAAAGCATTCGCCGTCATCGCGGATTTTTTCTCCAGAAGAGGGCTTAGCATTTCATATGCGTAGGACGTCGCAAACTGCTGGGCTTGCACGGAAAGAAGGATCTTCGCAAGGGAGCAGCCCTAAACCCTAAACCCTAAACCCTAAACCCTAAACCCTAAACCAGTCATGGCTTCACCCGGAAATGACAGGGTCCTCAAGGGACAGGGGGCTTCAAAGGGTATGTAGCCCAAGGTCCTGAAAGCTCCCGACGCCTCCCTAAGCTTAAGGTTTCCTAACCCTAAACCCTAAACCCTAAACCCTAAACCCTAAACCCTAAACCCTAAACCCTAAACCCTAAACCTTAAGGTTCCAGAGGCACCTCCCATGAAGCCCCCTCGCTTAAGGACCCCTCTAATGAAAACAGCATCCCACCGAACACCACGGAAAGCTGGCCAGGAAACCTCAAGGAATCCCTAAGACCTAAACCCTAAACCCTAAACCCCATGTTCCATGCAAAGCCGGCCTGCTAGCGCCAAGAACTGTGGCAAGTCCACTTCCGAGCAGTTTAGCACGTAGAGTAGGTCTTCGGGCGGGTCCCTCAGTGGCGAAGGGCTTCGTAGCGAGTCAGGGGTCGGGGTGCAAGGCGCCCCGCAGATAGTCGGGCTCCATGTGTTCCAGCAACTGAGGCTAGTATGCTAACCCAAACCCTTAACCCTAAACCCTTAACCCTTAGCCCTAAACTCTAAACCCTAAACCCGAATCATACGGAACACAAATGTGGCGAAGGGGCTAGGCCCACAACTTTCTCCCCCTGTCAACTACTAACTACTCTTTGCTTAAAAAACCCTCCCCCCCAAAAAAAAGAAAAAGAGTATTCTCCGTATAAGGGCAATATAGGCATTGTGATTTTGTATCTTCTGAAGGGTTACAAATAGCTTAGGGGTCTGGGGTAGCCTGATCAGGCCAGTTTGGGGGGAATGCAGGTTGGATTTCATAACCCTAAACCCTAAACCCTAAACCCTAACCCTACGATTTGAATCCAAAACTCTCAGCCCGAACCCTCAGTTTGCATCCTGTGAGGAACTTTCGGTCCACGAATCTCCGGGCAGATGAAACCCTAAACCCTAAACCCTACTTGAAGGTTCATGGTACTTATTAACCGATTATTACTGTACTTGTAACCCCCTTATAAGCCCCTTAAGTGCCCTCAGATGATTATAAGTACAGTTGTAACTGCAAGTAACATGAACCTCCAAGTAAATATTAAACCGTACAACCCTATGTTCTTCAACCCTCGACCCCCATGTGCTCAAGTTTATGTGGGACTACGCAAACAAACCCCCCCCCCTCCCCCCCCGTGCCCCCCACCGCCCCTTCACTAGCGCAAGTAGCTCAAAGGCTGGTGCCTTGGGGGTCCAAGCAACCCCCCGCCCCGCAGTTCTCAACCCCAAGTCGTCACCCTAAACCCTAAACCCTAAACCCAAAACCCTAAACCCTAAACCCTAACCCTAAACCCATTTCAGCTCCGATGCTTTGGATCCGTCCGATGGCAGCAGGCCTCGAGAGCCTGAAGCACCTGACGCGACACCCCCGAAACTTCCTAAACCCCGAAGCCCTCAACCCTTTTAGGGTTTAGGGTTTCGGGTTTAGGGGTATTGGGGTTTAGGGTTTAGGGGTATTGGAGGTTTCAAAAAAAGTGGGCAACAAATGGGCGGGGTTGGGGCCTGCCCCCGAATGGCGCCTCGTCCCTATCCCGAGCTTTGGGACCCGCCAAACAACGAAAACAAACAACTCCCACACACCCCAAGCTTCAAACCGTCACCTCCAATTGGCCCGACACCCCAAGCCCCCCACCTCCTCTTCCAGCCAATGCATTCGCCCGGTGAGGACCTCCTGCAGACGGCCTTCAACGCGCAGCGCGAAATTTAGGGTTTCGGGTTTAGGGGTTTAGGGTTTAGGGTTTAGGGTTTAGGGTTTAGGGTTTAGGGTTTAGGGTTTAGGGTTTAGGGTTTAGGGTTTAGGGTGGTTTAATTCGGGGAGCCTGTGTCTTTTCAGGCTTAAGTTTTGGGGGTTATAGGCCCTAAACCCTTCAGCTGCCAAGGCTTCGGAAGAGGAGGTTTAGGGTTTAGGGTTTAGGGTTTAGGGTTTAGGGTTTAGGGTTTAGGGTTTAGGGTTTAGGGTTTAGGGTTTAGGGTTTAGGGTTTAGGGTTTAGGGTGCCTTTTGTTTTGTAACTAACAGAAGACCTGATAGGACCGGCAGTGCAACCCACGGTTCTGCAGAGCTGTTCTTGAATGTCGCTACCCACCAATATTAAATAGCCCCCGCATATACTCTAGTATAACGATAAAATCGGAGTATGTCATCATGGGGGGGGGTTTACGAATACTAGGGACTGTGCCGGCTAAGGTTGGCCCTAAACTAGGGGATAGGATTAGGGGGGACCCTTGTGGATATAGACCTCTGAATAAGGTCCCTGTTTAAGAGAGCCAGAAGAGGGTTCAGAAGGGCTCCCTTTTAAGGGTCCCCCTTATCCTACCTAGGATAACCATAAACCTAAATTAACTCTAAACCCTAAGCCCACCCTCAAGTGCAGCGTCCAGGATCGGGGCTTGATGTTTGTGAGCCCTTACGACAGAGGAATGGAGCCCACGTGAACCGCACACAAGCCTCTGTGTCAAGGAAGCTTCCGTCCTGACCTCCCTAAACCCTAAACCCTAAACCCTAAACCCTAAACCCTAAACCCTAAACCCTAAACCCTAAACCCTAAACCCTATAATTCACACCAGTCTCATCACTAAGGCATAAGCCAAGCTCAGTGAGGCCCCCTACAATCTCCTACTGGTTTCGGGCTGATTCCGTAGAGACGAAACCTCAACCGTGAGCCCTCCTGAGACCTAAGCCCTACAATCAGAAACCCTATAACCCTTAAAACCCTAAGACCCTAAACCCTGAAACTCTAAACCCTTGATAGATGCCGAAAACCCACACCCGGCCCCCCCGAAAAGCCCTAAACCCTAAACCCTGAACCCTATAAACCCTAAACCCGAAACCCTGGACTTTTAACCCTAACATGCAGGCGGCGCCTGCCAGGCGCTGGAGCTGTCCGGAGGACGTGCTCCTGGCCGCGGAGGTGGTTTAGGGTTTAGGGTTTAGGGTTTGGGTTTTCTTCTTTTGCCGCCAGCAGGCTTAGGATTTAGGGTTTAGGGTCGAGAGTTTGTTTAGGGAGGGGGAGAGGGGTTCAAGGGGAGTATGTATCCCAAGGGTCCCTGATACTCCCCACTATTCCCCAAGGCTCCCGAAGTTTTTCTCAGGTTGCGTTAGGTACCATGAACCCCCCTCTTCTAGGAACCCTATAATACTCGTATGTTGCATTATGACAGCTTTCGGGCTATCCAAAAACCCTAAAACGCTAAACCCTAAACCCTTTGAGGGCTTCGGGGTTTTAGGCCTAGAGGGTTTAGAGAAGCGCCGCGCTGGCAGTGTCGTGGGCTACCTCCAGCGCTTCAACCCCCTAAGTCTTTGTCTCGAAGTCCCTGAACCCTAAACCCTAAACCCTAAACCCTAAACCCTAAACCCTGGAAGCCCCGTACCCCAAGCAGGCCTTCGGGTTTAGGGTCTAGGGCTCAGCCCAAAACCCTCAATGTCCTAAGCCCCCAAAACCCTCAACCCTGAGACTCTGTAGAGTGGAGCCGTCGCTTGCCCTAAGTCCAAACCCCCCAAACCCCCCCAACAAACAACCTGAACTCCCCGAGCCCTATTCATTTAGAGTTTAGGGTCTAGGGTTTGTGGTTGGGGGTGTAGGGTTTAGGGTCTAGGGCTTCGGATTCCCCTGTAAGCCCTTCTTCTTGTGGGCCTCACTGACTCCTTGCTGCTCTCTGGAATTGTGCCCGTTTTCCCATCCGAATCCCCAAACCCTAAACGCTAAGCCCAAATGGGTGCTTCGAGACCGTCCGAGTGACGGTTCGCATAACCCCAAACCCTAAACCCTAAACCCTAAACCCTAAACCCTAAACCCCAAACATTCCAAACCCAAATTCATGAGAGGATCGAGGCTCCATGCATGCCCAAACCACCATCCCCTTCCTTCAGGACTCCTTAAATCGCGCGGGGATCCCGAGCACACCTTCAAGAACCCACACCCAGAGACAGGGCCCTTACAGGATACCTGTAAGGGGTAGGAAATAAGGAGTTTGGGTAGGGGGGTTCCAAAGGAGGCAAGTGCCCCGAAACCCTAAACCCTAAACACCCTAAACCCTAACCCTAAACCCTAAACCCTACACCCTACACCCTAAACCCTAAACTCTGACCCTAAACCCTAAACCCCAAAACCCCAAACCCGACAGAAATGAATTCAGCTCTCTCCTTTGGCTGATCAGATTCTGGATGCCTGGGCCCCCGACTCTGCTTGCGTGTTTGGGGTTTGGGGTTTGGGGTTTAGGGTTTCGCCACCCGCACTGCGCGCACACGTGCACCCGCTCCGCAGGGTTAAGTCGAGGTTACCTGGACACGTTTCCTTGAACGTGCCACGAACAAACGGGTCGGACTGGTAGGTCCCCTTCAGGTGAAGGTCTGTGTCATTAACTGGGGTTTGGGGTTTAGGGTTTAAGGGGGCATGGTTGGTTTAGGGTTTCAGGGTTTTAAGGTTTTAGGGAGTCAGGGTTTTAGCGTAGAGTGTTGTTTATAGTCTTTCCTGGGGAAAGGTTCGGGATGTTCAGCTTTGCGGATTATGGTTTAGGCCAGTTTGGGCGTTTTGTTTTTTTGCTTTTTTTTTTTTTTTTTTGGGGGGGGGGGGGGGGGGGGGGGGCGGGGCTTAGGAATAGGCTTGGGATACCGGACAAGTTAACGATGCAAAGGCGAAAAGGCTCAACCTCAGTCCGGTCTTCGTCAGGCATGAAAAACTCGAACCCAAGAGGAACCTACTGCCTGCTTAAGAGCCCCAAAAGAATAGAAAAATACTAATCCCTATATTAAAACTATTTAAAAAATCTTTTCGGGGTTCTTAAGCAATTACTAGTAACCCAGCAATAACAAGGCGTACCCTTTTGGCTCACAAGAAGGGCTTGCTTAATGAGAGGGAATACAGTCCGACTCTGGGTCCTAGAGAACATGTAACCCTTCTTGGCTTACAGGGGGTTTGAGGCGAGCCCTAAAACCCCTAAAACCCTCAAACCCTAAAGCCCAAAAACCCTAAAACCCTGAAACCCTAAAACCCTGAAACCCTAAAGCCCGAAAACCCTAAACCCCTAAAACCCTAAAATCCTAAAACCCTAAAACCCTAAAACCCTAAAACCCTAAAACCCTAAAACCCTAAGCCCAAAGGGGTTCCCAACACCGAGAGCCTGCAGTCCAAAACCCAAACCCTAAAAGCCCAACAACGCGCTAAGCCCTGTAAGCCCTCTAAACCTCCTAAACCTTCTAAGCCCGCGAAACCCTCTAACCCCTTTACAACCCTCTAAACCCTCGACTCTCTAGCCTCTAAACCCTCTAAACCCTAAACCCCAAACCCAAACCCTTAACCAAAAACCCTTAACCCAAAACCCCAAACCCTAAACCCCAAACCCCAAATCCCAAACGACCGTTTCCCCGCCGAGCAGCAGTAGACTGTGAATCTCGCGGCACCCGTCTCTCCATAGGGCTTCTCCACCAGCATCTGGAGGTCCAGCTCCTGTTCACTTCAGGTTTAGGGTTTAGGGTGTAGGGTTTCGGGTTTAGGGTTTAGGTCGGGTTGAGGGATCCTTTTTCGGCATCTGCAGGAAGTCTGGGGATGGCGGTAGTTTGGGAAACCCAAACCCTTTTTTTCGGAGGCTTTGGGGTCGATTGGGCGGGAGTGGAGTAGGGTTTGGGGTTTTGGGGTTTAGGGCTCCGGGTTTAGGGAACAAACAACAATGTCCTTGACGAAGTACATTAACCCCAAAAAAGGGCATCCTGTCCCTTCTAGGCCCTGAGCCCCAGCCTCCAAGCGGCTTCGGGTTTAGGGTTTAGGGTTTAGGGTTTAGGGTTTAGGGTTTAGGGTTTAGGGGGTTTGGGGTTTAGCTTAGAGCGCGGGAAGGCGGAGTTTGGGGCTTTAGGTCGACCTTGGGGGTTTCCCGAGCCCTAACGAAACACTGCAATTGGGTTTAGGGTTTAGGGTTTAGGGTTTAGGGTTTAGGGTTTAGGGTTTAGGGTTTAGGGTTAGGGTTGGGTTTAGGTTTAGGGAGCCACTCATTGTGCCATGTCCAAAAATCGTACATGCCATGTAGCACGAAGTCGGAAGACTAGTATCTAAATGTTCTGCATAGGAAGTGCCCAAAATAGGGATCCGCAAAAGACTCCAATATGAGGCTTACCAAGCGAACCCCCGAGAAGGGAGCCTACTTTTATACGTTTAGTCCTTTCGACATACTCAACTGAACTTGGGCCACCCTCAGCCCTGAGCTTAGTTTGGGTTTGGGATTCACTTACCTGTTTTGTTGCATGGTTTTCTTTAAGAGCAACTTTCGGGCACCTTCTGACCACTATGAACAGAACCAACCGACAATCTGAACAAATGTTCAATAACAATCTGGGGCGAAGCGTGCGGGAAGGCTTCCAGGGGCCTACGCAAGCAGGCCTGGATGGACGATGCGAGACGCTCCGTCTGCGCGGAGGTGTGCGCCCAAATGCCGAACAGACTGAAGACCAGCACCTCAACACGGGTTTTAGGGGGTTTTAGGGTTTTGGACCCTAAACCCTAAACCCTAAACTTTCAGGGTTTTAGGGCTGTAGGGGTTTTAGGGTTCCGAAGACCAGCACCTCAAACACCCAAAGATGACACAACGTGTGCTTGAGGGAGGTCTGTCCCTGGGGGGGGGGGGGGGGGGGGGTTTAGGGTTTAGGGTTTAGGGTTTAGGGTTTAGGGTTTAGGGTTTAGGGTTTAGGGTTTAGGGTTTAGGGTTTAGGGTTTAGGGGTAGGAAATCTCACTTTCCTTACTTTGTTTTATCCCTGGTACTCCTAGAGTCTTAGAGGCTGCATAGAACCACATGTTGAAATAAACAAAGCGACTCCAAACACGTGTTTAAAGTAAACCTCTATGGGTTGCATAGGTTTTGCTACTAATATAGACCACTCAGCGCCCTGAAGTCCCCTTTTTGGATTCCGGAGCAGCGCGGGGTGCCAAAGCCATCATGTCTTGTGGTGTTATTGGCCTTTAGGGTTTTTAGGGGCTTTAGGGCTCTTGGGGCTTTTAGGGTTTTAGGGCTTTAGGGTTTTTAGGGTTTTTTTGGGGCTTTTTGGGGCTTTTAGGGTCTTGATCCAGAGCCGAGCCGCGATTATGACGTCCGCCAGGTTGCCGAAGACGGACTTGATCTCGCCCAGCTGCAACAGCCTCCCATGCTAGCCCTAAACCCTAAACCCTAAACCCGAAACCCTCCCAAACCCCAAACCCTAAAGTGCTAGGGCCCCTTTGCAGGTTCGTGGGTAGTTAGAAGTAGGGTTTAGGGTTTAGGGTTTGGGGGTTTAGGGGTTTAGGGTTTAGGGGTTTCGGGGTTTAGGGGTTTAGGGTTTAGGGCTTAGGGTCTAGGGTTAGGGTTTGTACCGAAAATCAGCGAACAATCCTTTAACCCTGAAGCTTCTCCAAGCCTTCCCTGTGCGAGTCCTAGACCCGAACCTCCTCCAAACCCTAAACTTCCCGTTTAGGGTTTAGGGTTTAGGGTTTAGGGTTTAGGGTTTAGGGTTTAGGGTTTAGGGTTTAGGGTTTAGGGTTCAGGGTTGCAGACGTCCAGCTTACTTCCCTACGTTTTGACCTTTCGCGGGTCCGCTTCTGGCCAGGCGATGATAAGGGCCACATTGGACTAAAACTAGACCCAGTTTTGAACCCATCCTAAAAGTTCAACTTTCAGGCTCCTTATTGTAGTTTCTACCAAAAAACAAAAAGTTAGAGATCTAAGAGCCAGCCAGAAGAAAGCCAAGCAGGAGTAACCTAGGAATAACAAGGGTGCCCTTTTGGGTTGAAACAGGATTATAAACAAAGGGAATGCCCTACGTATAAGCTTAGGGATTTAGGGTTTAGGGCCAAACCCTAAACCCTAAACCCTCAAGGGGTTTCGGGCTTAGGGGTTTAGGGTATCACGGTGTGTCGAGGGGAGTCGTGCAACTCAGATCTAAGTTTTGGGTTTGGTTTGAGACAAGTCCTTCTTGGGGTTCAGGGTTTAGGGTTTAGGGTTTCTATGTCCTCATCCTGTAGCCAAACACCCGTTTCACCTGTTGCGGGATTAGGGCTTCGGGTTTGGGTCCAAGCATGTTGGCGCTTTCACACAGGGTTGCGCAAGATTACAAGGCTCGAAGAGAGGCGTTTAGAGCACGAAAGTCTCGGGGCTTAAGCGTTAAGAGTTTAAGCGTTGAGCGCTTTTTTTGGTTACGGTCCATCGACGGGGGTTAAGCTCCATAACCCTGAACCTTAAACCCTAAACCCTTCTAAGCCCTAAACCCTAAACCCTAAACCCTAAACCCTAAACCCTAAACCCTAAACCCTGAACCTCAGGAGGTTGCCGAGGGGCGGGGAGTCGTGCAGGCCGATAAAAATGAAGCCGAACCTCTGTCGAGGCATGCAAGGCTCAGCCCTAAACCCTAAACCCTAACCCTAAACCCTAAACCCTAAACCCTAAACCCAGAGAGCCCAATACCCCGTAATAAAGGAATACACCGTAAGTTATAAAGGGATCCTTAAAAGGTAGTTCAGGTATATTCCTTATATTCATAAGTTTACCTACTAACACCACCCCCCCCCGCCCTAGGTTCCCCCCAGAAATAAGCCTAGCTAAGGTCATTTAAGGGGGGAAGCTAGGCGGAGGGGCAGTATAGAGGGGGGGTAGTAGGGGAACCCATGATTAATTAAGGGGTATTGGGTTTTGTCGGGTACCAAGTGTGAGTATCTCCTGTCGTTTCGGAAGGTGGCATAACCTACTGACTCTGTATGGTTGGGATTACAGGTGCGGACCTCGCAACGCCTTGCTCATTCCCAACTTCCCAGACCCAAGTGCGGGACCCCTCAACCCTCACCCCGAAACCCCAACACAGGCTAGACCCAAGAGTAACCTAGGAACCAACGGGTGCCCTTTCTGGTTTTTAAAAACCCTAAACCCTAAACCCTACGAAGCCCTAAACAGAGCGGGAAAACGGGCCTACTCGGGGTCCTAGCAGACCCAAGACTGGGCTTCCGGCCATCCGTACATGCACGCCCAAAAGATCATCTCCTGAGAAGACAGATCCTTCCAACACCCCTCAATTAGGGAATATACCCTAATTCAGAATCATGATCCGTAGTCATACATACATATACATATACATATATATAAGGGTATATTCCTCAATCAAGGAATATACCCTACATAAGAATGATCCCTTGATTTAGGGCTTGTTGGAAGATCTGGGAAGACAGGGAGACGCAACCGGGGTGGCGCTTCTACTTCTGCCGGGGTCCATACTCAGCGGCTGGGTTCTACAAGGGGGGGAGGGAAAGCTAAGCTTTGGGCGTTTTGGGGTTTAGGGTTCATGGGGAGCTCTAGAACCTGCTGACGAAAAAGATGGATCTACGCAGGAGCTCTGGAAGAAGGGATGAGGCTCAGGATTTTGGTTTCTTAGCTTTGGCTGTCAGGACAAAATCAAGTCAGCTCCACATGACTTAAGTGGGGTAAACCCCTAAACCCTAAACCCTAAACCCTAAACCCTAAACCCTAAACCCTAAACCAACAGGATGTGTGTGAGGAGCTGGCAACAGCTCAGGTTAGGTTGCTGAGCCAGAAGGCGCCCTCTTTTTGTGTAATGTAGGAGCCTGAATATTTCGAATATAAATGTATATATATATATATTTTTTTTTTTTTTTTGGGGGGGGGGGGTAGGGTTTAAGGTTTAGGGTTTAGGGTTTTGGGGTTTAGGGTTTAGGAATTAGGGTTTAGGGGTTCTATAGTATCATGTGAAGGGACCACAAGGGGAAACTCTTAGTAAGTATTCCAACCAATATATTTACGTATCGAGGTCTACAAGGAGTTCTTGCTGCACTACAAGGAGGAATGCTGCAGGGGGAGCAGCAGCTGGGCATCTTGGTAGGATTCCTAGTCTAGCGTCCCTCGTTAAGGTAGCCCTTTACCCAGACCCCTGGGAGGAGTAGATCCCCGCTAAGGGTTCCTAAGCATGGCCCAAAAGTAGTACGGGGTACCTTTGGGAGGTTCTACTTTTTGGATCCTCGGGGTCAGACCCTAAACCCTCTCTCTCCTAAACCCTAAAACCCAAAACCCTAAACCCTAGAACAAAAATGCCCTACACGCGAAAGGTTCCCTCCAGAGATCCTGCAAAGAAAGGGTGTAGGGTTTAGGGTTTAGGGTTTAGGAGGGGGGGAGCCCCTGTGCTATGGGGCTTGGAGGGCGCCCCCCCCCCCCCCCCCCCCCCCCCCCCCCTATGGTTTCTAAGCGTATGGATTGGGCACTTTGGAGGGTAACCCCTAGGGTTTAGGGTTTAGGGTTAGGGTCACCTACTTGTGCGGCGGTCCATCTTAAGGGGGCTAGAGTAAATTTTGGGTACAGAATGGGTACCCCTAATTTGAGAAAGGCCCTTTCTAAACCCTAAAAAACCTAAACCCTAAACTAAAAACGCACGGCCCAGCGGCGGTAATCTCGCGATGCAGCACAGATCGCTCATTGGTGTAGTACAAAAGCAACACCGTCCTGAGAGCAAACCCTCACGCCCTAAACCCGAAGCCCTGAACCCCAAAGGCTAAACCCTAAACATGCCAAAGCCCAAACCCCGAACCCTACCAAGTCCCAAAAAACCCCAAATCCCCAAAGCCCCCCCCCTCCCCCCAACAAGAAGAGGATAACCTCTGAAAACAAAACAAAACAAACCTTTTGGTTTAAATAAGTAATAAACCAAACGCTACAAACCCTCAACCCAGGCCGCGAGAAATGGGACTGACAGACTGGGCGGCGCGAAAGCACGGTGGTTGTCAACGTGATGGTCCCTTTTTGGATCCCTATTTTAATACGGCACCGAATATTAAGGGTACCCCAAAAGGGATTATAATGTTGACAGCCACCCACGTTTCTAGAGCAGCCTCTGCACTAATTAAGGGGAGTGCTTGAGACCCTGACCTTTTTTGCCTCTTTTTTTGCAAAAAAAAGTTTGGGTCCCAAGCACTCCCCCTTGATGAATCCTAAACCCAAACCCTAAACCCCTAAACCCTAAACTCCCCTCTTCTTTTCATACATAGATGGGTATAGATAGGTCCGGACCTAGATTGCACTAGGTATGGTTCATGGGTTTTATGCGACTCGTGCCTTAACCCTACATCTTGAGGGAAGTTGTGTGTTGTTACGGCCAAAAAGCCCTAAATCCTTCTGTTTTCTTACGGTTAGGCCGTAGTGCTGAAGATGCAGAAAGCCGTCGACCGAAAAACCTTCAACTCAACTGCCCATTTGCGTGCCGGGCAGCACGGCCAAGTTGACTCTTCCATAGACCGAGAAGCCTCAGTGTTTAGGAGTTGAGGTTTGGTAGTTGTGGGGTTTGTAGGGTTTAGGGACCCTAAGCCCTAAAGCCTAAACCCCAAGCCCTAAGCCCTGAACCCGAAGCCCTTAACCCAGTGGTGGGCCATGAGCGCCCTCACAAGGTACGTCGGGGTTGCCGCCACGCACTTGGACTGCATAATCCGGCTTCTGGCCCTAAACCCTAAACTCTAAACACTAGATTTAAGGGCTTAGGGCCTAAACCCTAAACTCTAAACACTAGATTTTGGGGTTTTGGGGGGGGGGGGGTTTAGGGTACGAAAATCCTCGAGCCTAGGCTGCCACCGAAACCTTCCCAGGCCTTCCAGCCTGACAAGGCGTGGAGGTAAGGTTTTCGAAGGCACACTTACAAGGCCTACTTAGTTGCTGAGTTCATAAGCCCCCAAAAAAGTGTACACTTTCAGTTCTATAGGGGATTGTAGTATCCCCAAAAGTGTAAAGCGTGCTCACTCAGCTACTAAGCCTATAAACCCTACTAAAAACCCGAAACCCTAAACACTCCCCCTCCGAACTGCACACCCTCTTTAACAAAATACACCTCGCTGACGAAGGGCTCAACAGTCCGCCCAGGCTGACCACTTGGAGGATGAGATTCAGCATGGCTGATTCAACGCAGAGCCGCTTGCTGTTGAAGGGTTTGAGGTTTCGGGTTCCTTAGCAGATGTTGGGCCTTTCATGGCTTAACAGCAAGGGGTTGGAGGGTGCGGGGTTTGGGGGCTTCGGGGCTCAAGGCTTCGCCCGACATCTGTGGCTGCTGTTGTTTCTGGTCGCGCGGGCGGCCGTCAGATGTTAGCATCACAAAGCCATGCTTGTCTCGGCAGGCGCGGGAGCCACTAGGATGTGCTTCGCACGAGGCCACTGCAGCAGAGGGGCTGGGCTACAGACCGTCTGTCCACGGCTTGCTTTCTGACTTCGCAAGGTCCCTAGATATCCTAGATCTCAAACCCTCAGCCAAAGGGGGTGTGAAGGTGCACTTTTGGTCCGACACGGTCTCTGCCCTGCCCCCCCCAACTGCCTACAGCACCAATTTGTGTGCTTGGTGGTCTCGTGCCTTTGAGCCGAAAAGGTTGGGGGGTCTGCGGCCAACGACATCAGAGCTGCGTGCGAAATCCTAAACGTCCCCAGCCAACGGATCTTTTCCTACCCCACCTTAACTACCCCCCCCCCCCCTCCCTACTCTCCATTTCCGACATAAGACCGAAAGAACCCTGATTTAAGGCTTCTTTGGGATGTTTGTAACTGACTTTCTAATTTCTAATTCGTACACACAGGAATGAGGGACCTTTTTCTCCACATTGCACACACAACCCACTGAGGGACAAAATGCTGCACCAAATTCCACATTCCCCACTAAGAACCTGCAAGTTTAGTGGGTCGCTTCGAATCCCCAAGCCCTAAACCCTAAACCCTAAACCGTAAGCCGCAGCCTCCGAAGTTCTGGACTTAACAGCCGCCTCAGAAAGTCTCCCGGAAACAATCCCAAACTGAGACAAGCCGGCGATAGCTCGAGCATCCCTCTCCACTTGCTTTGCGCTCTTTAGGGTTTCTATACCACCGCCTTTTAGGCTGCCCCCCCATAGCTAAGGCTATTTAATGAAGCCTAGTTAAGGCTGTTTAAGGGTGGAACCTAGGGGGGGTTCGTATGGAGGGGTAACCGGACTTGTTGGCTGCCTACCCCTAAACCCTAAACCTTAACCCCTAATGTATAGACGGGTTTAGGGTTTAGGGGTAGCAGGAAAACCCATGAGTGCCGGGACAACCAAGCAGCGGCAACATCGGCCCACCTAGATGAAGCCCTGAACTGGTGCCTGCGGTGACAGTAATCTCCCTAAACCCAAAACCCGAAGCCCTCAGAAGGAATCGGGATGCCGCTGGTGCAAATTTTGCCAAAACCCTAAACCCTAAACCCTAAACCCCTTAACCCCTTAACCCCTTAACCCTTAACCCTAAACCCTAAACCCTCAACCGCATGGCCCCACTTGGCCATCTGACGGCCGTCCCTCCTGGAAGCACTTCCCACGTCCCCAGCCACGGAGCCGAGTGGGGCGACCTCCAGACACTACGTGGGGTTTAGGTTTTTTAGGGTTTAGGGTTTAGGGTTTAGGGTTCAGGGTTCAGGGTTTAGGGTTTACGGTAACGACTCCCCCCCAAAAAAAAGGGAGTACGTGTCCCTGATAGCTCGGTAGGATCATCACCGGGATCTCAGGGTCTCCGATCATGAAGGGAGGGGGGGGGGGGCACCTTCGGATGCCACGGTTAGGGTTAGGGTTTAGGGTTTAGGGTTTAGGGTTTTTAGGGTTTATAGGTTTATAGGGTTTATAGGGTTTATAGGGTTTATAGGGTTTAGGGTTTAGGGTTTAGGGTTTAGGGTTTAGGGTTTGGGGCTTAGGGCTGGACCGCAAGGCCCTCACTTCCGCAGAAAAACCCGGCATAGGCTTTAGGGTCAAAGGGCAACCCACCAAGTCTGCGCTCGGAGCCCACCCTCTGCCTAAACCCGAAGCGCCACTTAGCCCCTGCCCTAAAAACCGAAGCCGCCCTCATCGCGCAGGCAAAACCTACCTCCCAAAGAGCCAATATTGCTTAATTAAGGAATATTCCTTAAATCATATAGGGATCCTGAATATGATTTAAGGTATATTCCTTAATTAAGCAATATTGGGCTCTTTGGGCTGAATCTCAAGCCTCGGAGGTGTTTAGGGCGGGAGGGGTTGTAGGTGGAAGCGGGCTAGGGCTGCGCATCCTGTTTTGACGTCTTGGCCCAAGCTGTCAAAACCGCACTTCGTCGTGCCCGCCCCCCAGGGCTGGCCAGCACCTCCAAGGAGGGGGAGCGTTGAAGGAAAAGGTGGGGCTTTCTAGGGTTTAGGGTTTAGGGTTGTAGGGAGTGCTTGGTTTGGTGATCCCCGAGGAAGCAGCCGGAAGTAGGGACGGGATCCGAAATAAGGCCCCAAAATGAAGCGTAACTGTTTTGAGGCCTTCCTTCAGGCAGAGGAGATTCGAATCGGGTAAGCCATGTCATTTCTCGAAACCTAACCCAACCTTCCCCTGAACCCTATACGCCTCAACCCCTTAAGGCCCCAAACCCAAACTAAATCCTACACACCCAACCCCCTCCCGAACCCCCCCACCCTAACCCTAAACCCTAAACCCTAAACCCTAAACCCTAAACCCTAAACCCTAAACCCTAAACCCTAAACCCTAAACCCTAAACCCTCTCCGCGGGTGGCTGGGGCGCCTTCGTCGCGGCCTTGGCCGGGGGCCGCGCCGGCGCCTGCACGGCGCCGGATGGCGCCGCCTCCGGCGCGGCGCCCTCCGGCCTGGAAGTCTCCAAGGGGGTTTGGGTTTAGGGTTAGGGTTTAGGGTTTAGGGTTTAGGGTTTAGGGTTAAGGGTTAAGGGTTCAGCAGCTCCGGGGTCGAGCAATCTCCAGTGAGCCGCTGTTTGGGCTCTCGAAAAAACCCCCCACCCAGAGAATCCCAAAAACAAAATCAGCAAAACCTCACTCTGTCATGGACCATCCTACCCACCCGCCAAAAAAGCCGGGAGGGGGGGGGGGGAGGGAGGGGGGAGGGAGGGGGGAGGGGGGAGGAAGAAATGACCCTTAGCCACGAAGAAATGACCCTGAGCCACGAAGAAATGACCCTTAGCCACGAAGAAATGACCCTTAGCCACGAAGGAAATGACCCTTAGCCACGAAGGAAATGACCCTTAGCCACGAAGAAATGACCCTTAGCCACGAAGAAATGACCCTTAAATGACCCTTAACGCCCAGGAAATGACCCTTAGCGACCAAGAAATTGCCCTTAGCGAGGAAATTGCCCTTAGCCACGAAGAAATGACCCCTAGCCACGAAGAAATGACCCTTAGCCACGAAGAAATGACCCTTAGCCACGAAGGTGTATAGGGTTTAAATATATATAGAAAGAGAGGTTTAGGGTTTAGGGTTTAGGGTTTAGGGTTTATAGGGTTTAGGGTTTAGGGTTTAGGGTTTAGGGTTCAGGGTTTAGGGTTTAGGGTTTAGGGTTTAGGGTTTAGGGTTTAGGGTTTAGGACCCTTGAGGTTGCACCCGTGGGCCTTGGGGAACCTTTGCAAAGATCCAGGGTGGTATAGCGATAAGGGCCTTACTTAACGGGGAGCCTTTAGGGGTACAACCTTAGGGTTTAGGGTTTAGGGTTTAGGGTTACTCCCTTGAGGTTTGAAGGTTTAGGGCTGCGAGTCGTTTGTTGCAACCCACCTAGCTGACTTCAATCCCTCTTAGGGATGTTACATGGTCCCTAAACCCTAAACCCTAAACCCTAACCCCTAAACCCTAAACCCTAAACCATGGCCCCTTAAGATGGGCCCGTAAATTTGCTGGATGTATCAGGGACGGTCGTTGGTGACGTGGAAACTTGCTATGGAGCTGTTGAGGGTCAGGGCTTAGAGCTCAGGGCTTAGGGTTTAGGGTTTGGGCTTTAGGGTTTAGGGTCTAGGGTTTGGGCTTTAGGGGGGTTCAAGGGGGGTGTGTAACTCAAGGTTCCCTCCACTACTCCTCACTGCTCCCTAAGCCTCCCTAAAGTTCCCCAGGTACCCGCAGAACCCCCTCACTTAAAAGCCCAAAAAGGCCAGCCCGACGCTCTGGAAGTTGGTGTTATTATTGCTTTGTCTCAGTTTCTGTTGTAGGTTGGTTACATGGCGGAAGCCGACGTTTGTTGGATTCGCTTTGCCTTACAACATCATTTTCTGCTGATTTGGTGGCGCGGGTAGCCGGGGTTCCCCACTTGGCGCAGTGGGTTTGGGTTCGGGGTCTAGGGTTGGGTTTTGGGGTTTTGGAATTAGGGCGTAGGCTGGAGGGCTTGCGGGCTTAGAACGTTTGGGGGTTGAGGTCCCAAACCGTCAACAGGTTTGGGGCTTTCAAGGGTTGATGCTGAAGGGTTTCATGGGCCATGCATACCACGATCTGCTTCAGAAACCTCCCCCACCCCACAAAAAAATATAAGAACCCCTACATTACCTTCATGAGGAAACATAGTGCCCCCCCCCAAAAAAAAAGAAAGAAGATAAGAACCCCTATATTACCTTCATAAGGAAACATATTTATCCATTTGTTGAAGCACATAGTCATGGTAGCCCAGTAGCCACATGATGATAAGGGCACCCTTTTTTTTTGGGGGGGGGTTGGTTCTGTTATAATTAGAGGAACCCATAAACAAACAAAAGAGGTAAAGGGTACCACTGGGCTACCAGGTAGTATAAGCTGCAGCCGCAAGTAGCTACAAAGCCATCAAGCCGGACTCTCAGAGTTGAGACTAAGGTTGATAGGGTTTAGGGTTTAGGGTTTAGGGTTTAGGAAGGCTCGAGGAGCTTCGGGGCTTGGAGGACTTTCGGGCATTTTGGGCCATTGGGCTCAGTTGTGAGTGCTTTGCGGTTCCCGCGCACTCCCCTTCCGACCCCTCTAGGGGGTTTACCTTGGCCTCCTAAGGTTCTACCCTTGAGTTTGTGAGGACCCTTTTTAATAAGGGCCATATGAGGAGTCGGTCAACGACTGTTAAGGGGAACCTTGACAGCCACAGGGGTACGAGTCTTGATCCCTTGAACCCCTTCTTACAAGGACATGGATTTGCTA